TACAATAGGGATTGGCTAGCCGCCGTAGTAGACGGGTATCCTCGAATACGCGTGGTCAGCTATACATATACATGTATGTCTATCTATCTATCTATCTATCTATCTATCTATCTATCTATCTATCTATCCCAGTCCGCTCATTATCTGTTTATTTATCTATCCCAGTCTATTCATATCTATCTATCTATCTATCTATCTATCTATCTATCTATCTATCTATCTATCTATTCGTATGTATGTATGTATGAATCTATCTATCTATCTATCTATCTATCTATCTATCTATATCTATCTATCTATCTATCTATCTCTCTTCATATGTATGTATGTATGTATCTATCTATCTATCTATCTATCTATCTATCTATCTATCTATCTAACGTTTATATGTGTTTTGTAATTTTTTCCTATGCCTGTCTATAATCTATTCATATCTGTTTATTTTTGTATATCTACAAACTATCTTTTTGTGTGTATTTCTATAATATATCATAATCTCTTCGCATGTATGTATGTATGTATGTATGTATGTATCTATCTATCTATCTATCTATCTATCTATCTATCTATCTTTGTTACTTGTTATCTAAGTCCGTTTCCATCTATCTATCGACATGAAGATATGGAAGTATAAAATGAGTTTCAGTTTCTTTACCCACTCTCCACAAACCGAAAAGAATACATGAAGTAACATATTTACGTATGGATACTGAAAGCTTCTCGGCGCCAAATTAGAATATTAATGAGTAAACCTCTGAATGCTGATTTAGATAAGTCGAAGGAGTTGAAAACTTAACAGCACCCGTCTTATCTACGAACCTTGTGTCGGTGTGCGTGTCCATGCACGCGACTGTGTGTCTGTGTTTACGACCCCCCCCCACCATGTAGGTATATAAGCTGCGAAAGATCTGATGTGTTTGGTAGGTAATAGTCTTTCAAAAGACAGCGATGTCCACCGTTCAATTCGGATCGATAATTTTACTTTTCGGCTATTGGCAAAATGTCTTTGACCATTCAAAGATAGCCAGACCGCTGTGCGGCCACCAACGCCATAGTCGGTTTCTGGCATCCGATCAACTGTAGGTATCTCTCATGATTTGCACACAAAAATAAATTACACTTTCTATCTAGATCTCTCTTTCTCTGTTGCAATGCATCGATCTGTACGACCTTTTGGGTGGGTTCATCAGTAAATGGTTGGCTAAGAGTCGGTATTCGAGATCTAATGAAGGTTGATTTTCGTCTTAACTAAATTAACTTGACCGGATATGATAACGAAAAGCAAATCACGTTTTCAGCCCGCTTACTAACATTTTTACATATTTTTTACACGAAACTATTGAATTTCCGCAAACATGAAGAAGAGACGTGAAGCAATAGAAATGTGGTCCTACAGAAGGATGCTGAGGATGCCATGGACCGATCCCGTGAGCAACGACGAAGGAAATGGAAAACAACAAGAAAACTTATGTTTAACATCAGGAAGAGAGAGATGGGGTTTCTGGGACACATAATGAGGAAGGAAGGCTTGGAAAATCTGATACTCACATGATAGAGACTGAGACAGAGGAAAACTATTTATAGCATATTTAATGGGTTTAAGCAAATGGATGGCGGAACAACGGGGCTTAGGGAAAATAACAGAATGACAAAATTTATTAAAAGAGACAAGAAGTTGTGGAGAGCCATGATCGTCTATGTTCTGAGGGGACACGGTACATAAAGAAGAAAGAAGGTCCAAGTAGGTATTTATTGACTTCAAGAATAAGCCATTTTAAACCGGGAAAATGTTTATCTCTACACTTTTTCTTTTACGCTAGCGTTTATCTAATACAAAGCCCAAGAGGGGCTCAAGGTAGAGAGCTGCTACTGAATGGAGCTGTTTTATCGACGTAAGAGGATAAGGTAAAAAAAAAATGCAGATTATATTAATATATAGAATAGATAACGGTTGACTCTGGATTAGAAGAGTTTAAGATTTTAGTGATGGGGGAAGCTTTCTCTATGTAGTCTGATCCAAAAAGTATCTGTTACCAGAAAGAATGTGTCTTAGTAGAACCCTTACCCTTGAAATACGAAAGGATAAGGGTGGTTCACCCGGTGCACATGCTACCCGTTATTAATACTTCCCCATGGGGAATTTAGTTTCTTCTTTCCAATGACTTATTATATAATTTCCCCACAAACTCCTTTTGCAATGTTGCACCAGTCACTTAATTCCATGTTCCCTCTACACAAATTCTTGGAGTGCTTTGTTTACCCATTAATAGTTAAGAGTCAGTATCTTTTTGTTAATCGGTTTCAGCCCAAGCAAGGCAGCAAAGCCACTAAGACACAAGGATTTACTGGGTGTGAAAGAATTAGGAACAGAAACTTTAATAATGAGCGGGAAGAGGAGTAGTAATCAGGAGGACAGCAGATAGCGATTGACATTGCATTTAAATCTTTGCAGTTTAAAGTTGGCTGGAAAGCATATAGTCGGGAGGGACTTCCACAAACGAGAAAAGAAACTTTTAGCATAGAAGTGACGGCTACAATTAGCCAACTCAACCGTAAATTGAAGACAATCTAATACTGCCCTTAAATTCAAAAAGTCTAGGTACCATAGTGAAGAGCTCACTTGAACAATTACCATGAAAGTATTTACAGAAAAGGCACAGAGAGGCAACCTTACGGCAGTGAAAAATGACTGATGCCGAGCCGCCAGATCAGGACCGATAGTATAGCTGACTCTTCTTTGGATCTTATCAAGGAGATCAAGGTAACGAGCAGGGGTACCAGATTATATGTGACAGCAACATTCTAAGCATGAACGGATGGTAGACTTATAGATATGTAAGATAGATTCTGGAAAGAAAAAGTGTCTCGCAAGACACAGTGAACCAACTTTCTTAGAAGCTGACCTATCAATGGATTCAATGAAGCCTTTCCGCATGTCAGCTGAGAACGTTACCCCGAAAAGGTGCAATGAGACACTGTCCTGCGGGTCTGTTCTAGTTTCAAATGCGAACCAGCAAAAAAAAAAAAATCCATTGTTTTTTAATAGATTCGCTTGAAGTATAATTACCATTACACCAATAAGCAATTGTAATATCCAGTTCCTTCGGCAGATAAAGTTTCCAGTTCTTTTATAATTCTGTTTATTCCTCAGTTTAAAGCAGTGTGCCGCGCGATCCTCTTAAGTGTGCCGCGCGATCCTCTTAAGTGTGCCGCGAAATATTATCACAGCGTGTATATTTATGTCTGTAGGGAAATAGTAAAGGTACAGCGTTAGTATTTGAATAAATGCGTAAGTATTAAACTTTTTTTTTTCAAATAATTCTTTTCACTATTCTTCAATCATGTTATTTTACAAATCTCGACATCTATCAGAGAAATGAAATTTAAATTTTTATTATTTCATTATTCCAAAATTTAAACCCATCACCAGATAGCTATTTATGACAACTGAACCCAAATAGTTATCAATTAAAGAAATTAATAATTAATGTATAATATTATCCATAACTACATGTACAATAATGTCGTTTTTGATAAGCTAAAAAAAATAACGATAAATACGTACAAAAATGCGAATATTGTCGAAAATTCCTTTTTCCACAATATAGCTATTTGTACTATGTTATAATGCTTATTACCTAAATAATAAGAATACTGAATAATTTTTTAAAATATTAAAGTATATTTAATAATATTTCCCTAATAACTGTCACAATCTATTAAATACTTTATTTTAATATTCATTTTAAAAGTATTTTTATCTTTTAATTTAACTTATAAAATTCCCCTTATTTGAATAAATGAATAGTAACCCTTTTTTCATATAATTGAATTCAACATTCTTTAAGTCTAAATTTATGGCTGTATTTTATAAAATTTAAATGTTTACCATTTACAAATTTTTCTAAGTTCGTATTTCTATTTTCTCCTAGGTGTGCTGTTGCTTAAAAAGGTTGAGAAACACCTGTCGTTAGAGGGACAACTGCTTGGGAACACCGGCTATTGTAAGCAATTTCCTACAATCTGAAATCTGTTTCGGTTTTAAATGAACCCAAAAGGGTTGATAAGCAATCAAAAGCAAAATCAAATCAGTCAATCCTTACTTACTTCATTAGTTAGTTAGCGCGTAGGTTACGACTTGTCAATACCTTATAAAGAATCGGCTATTCTGTTTTGATCCCGAAGAAAAACGGAAAAGACATATCAGAGACGCTGTTTAGTTTCTGTCAGAAAAAAAGAAGACAAAAAGAAAGAAAAAGGCATAAATAAATAAATTAGAGGGAACGATAATGCTCACACGTTTTTAACGTCTGCTTCAGCGAAATGGAAAAATTTGTTAATTTCAAATATTTTCATTTGTACCCTTTTACTTCTTTAAACAGTTAAATGTTATTGCAATAAGTTCTTAAGCTCAAATATTTAACGATACTGTAAAGGAAAATTCATGGCTATTTTATAATCGTGGAACTCGCACTAAGTCTATTCAATCATTAACCTAAGAATTTCGATTCATCAGAAAATTAAAATACCAAAATCTTGAAATATTCACGGACAGATTCATTGTAAAAGACTAGTCTCTAGCCCCTGAATTTTAGCACAGGCGAAATTATCTGATATCAAAATTTCAGCACCCTCTCTAGATCGGGGGGAGAGTAATTAAAAGCATTTCGCTTTAAGTAACATGTATATTACAATTTTTACGAGACATATTTTGAGAAGAGCCATTATAATTCTTAGAGTTTCTACATGAAATCTCAACTGCTTTGATCGAAGTAAGAAATAACACAGCTAATTTACTAAAGGTCCTTGGAGAAAGGTTCGAGTTTTCTTAATCATATTGAAAACAGTTTAATTTTTGTTCGACATTTCGGATTACAATGATCAACCTTCATTTTCTGTTGTTTCCATCTTTTAATATCTTTTTTGTGTATGCTTTAAAAAAAATGAGATTTATAAAGGGAATCTGGGGTGAGATAGGGAGCTTCAATTGAGACACTCAA